CCCCACCCCACCCCCCACCCCCCGCCCACTCCCCACCTTTGTCCTTTCTCATCTCATCTGACTGTAGTGAGTTCACTATTGACCCATAGTTACTAACTGGGCACCTGCTGTGCTCAGGTTCTGAACCAGGTACCAGAGGAAAAGTTGTGTTGTGGATGAGCGTACCCCGAAAGCGTCTTGCTCCTTTCTCCCAATCAAGGACTGGACTGGGGGCTTCCTTCCTGCTGACTAACCTTCATTGGGCCAGAAAGAGCCACACAGGCTGCTGAGGGAGAATTGTCATTGCTAGTCTTACTCAGCTGTGGGCCCTGACTGCAACAGTACCAACCAACCAGGCAAGATGAGTCCACTGTGCAATAGTATCAGGTCTGTCATGCCTTCTGCATGGGGGGACTCCACATCTGGTACTGTAAACCCAGTCAAAAGCCAGTGACTGAGGAAGTCACACTGAAGAAGCTGCAGCTATTGTCTGGCAAAGTGGACAGGATGTGTCTGTCAAATTTGTCTTCCAAACAACTGTGTTTGTGCCCATAGATTAATGCTGTTATCAGCTTTGGTCAAAGAAACCTACATAACTGGTCAAGGTACCAGAATGCCCAGCCATAAACAGGACATCTACATCACTGCCCCCCAACACACACACATACACACACACACACACACACACACACACACACACACACACACCTACCTTAGGGAACATCGCCCAAGAAGGGACAGAGAAAACATTAGATCTGAAAGAAGAGTTGAGGGTGGGGAGAATTGAGGGTGGGGAGAAGTGTGAAATGGTGACTTCCAGGTATGACATGGCTGTTGTACACTTGAACTGACACGACACGTCATCAGCTGGACAAGACTGAGCCCACTGATACCCTGTCATGAGGTCAGGACTTATGGGATCCCATCCCTCCCTGAGGATTTATACACAGTTCACAATTGATAGGAAAGGGAGAGAGATCTTTTTATTTTTTTATTTTAATTACAAAGAAAATTATTTTACATGTCAATCCCAGGTCCCTTTCCTTCCCCTCCTCCCCTGCCCCCCCCCAACTAACACCCTCCCTACCCCATCCTCTTTCTTCTCCCAGGGGAGGGTGAGGCCTTCCATAGGGGGGTCTTCAAAGTCTGTCTTATTCTTGGGGATAGGGCCTAGGCTAACACCCTTGTGTCTAGGCTCAGGGAGTATCCCTCCATGTGGGATGGGCTCCCAAAGTCCATTCCTATGCTAGGGATAAGTACTGATCCAATACCAGAGGTCCCATAGATTTCCGAGGTCTCCTCACTGACCCCCACATTCAGGGGGTCTGGATCAGTCCAATGCTGGTTTCCCAGCTATCAGTCTGGGGAGCAAGAGCTCCCCGTTATTCAGGTCAGCTGTTTCTGTGGGTTTCACCAGCCTGGTGTGGACCTCTTTGCTCATCACTCGTCCTTCTCTGCAACTGGATTCCAGTTCAGTTCAGTGTTTAGCTGTGGGTGTCTGCTTCTACCAGCTGTTGGATGAAGGCTATAGGATGGCATATGAATTAGTCATCAATCTCATTATCAGGAGAGGGCATTTAAGGTAGCCTCTCCTCTGTTACTTAGATTGTTAGTTGGTGTCATCTTTGTAGCAGGGAGAGACATCTTCAGTAGTATAGTCACTGCTAAGGTGCCCATGCTCCTGTGAACAACCCTAATGAACATCATTGGGACAGACAGACAGACAGACAGACAGACACACACACACACACACACACACACACACACACACACACACTGTTGGGAGGAGAAAGGGGACTAGTAGGATTGGGAAGGGAATAGGAGAGTGTAATGGGAATGACTCTGATGGAAATATGTACATATATGCAATGGCATAATGAAGCCCATTATTATGTATAATTGGCATATGTAATAACATTTTTAAAAAGATTAACCATCACAAAAGGTAATTCTTGTGTTGGAAGCTTAACCCCTAATGCCACAGTGATGGGAGATGAGGCTGTAAGAGGTAATTAGGGAGCTGAGACCCTACCTCTAAATAATGACAATAATAACCGTGGTTAGGACTTGAGAGCTCTGCCCTTGAGAAGGGTGCTTTTGTTAAGAGTTTAGCTGCTCCTACTCTTCCCTGTCCATGCTTGCCCTTTCACTGTCCGCCAAAGCATGGTGCTACAAGAAGTCCTTCAGCAGATGTGAGCCCTCACCCTCCGGTTTTGCAGCTTCCAAACCTGGAAGAAGGAATTCTATTCTGTACCCTGTGTCAAGAATGCTGCTTCAGCACAAAGTAGACTGACAGGCCAGGAGCCAAACACACAAGGTCACAGCATTATTGTTGTAGGACAAAGAATAATAACTTGTTAGGTGATGGGGGGGCACACCTTTAAACCCAGCACTCAAGAGGCAGAGGTAGGCGGATCTCTGAGTTTAAGATCAGCCTGGGGCACATCGTGAGTTCCAGGACGGCCAGGGATACACAGAGAAACCCTTTCTCAAAAAAACAAAAAGAAAAAGAAATTGAAAAACCCTGACAGGTTATCCCCCAGTTTGGAGGATCTTACGTGTCAGGTAAGGATGCTGGCAGGAGTGTGTTAGGTGACGTTACAGGTGTCAAGATGGAAAAGGTACAAAGGCATCTCTTTGTTTCATTTTCACTACATTTTAACTACAGCTACAAAAAACCTGGCAACCTACAGATGAGTTCTATTTGAGCTGAAGAGAACAGAGTTCTTGAATCTGAAGAAATTGCCTCTGCAGACAAGTTCACAGTGTCCCTGAGATAGTGATGAGTTCCACTAGAGGGCAGCAAAAATGGGAGAGGAAAGGCCCTGGGTGAGTTCCCATCAACACATATAGGATGTGAGGGGACTTAGTAAAAACAGTCCAGGTAGTTCCCTTGTTTGGGGGGTTACTTTAGGCCAGTCAGTTTTCTAAGTGGTTTATATAAAATTAACCCGCTCGCTTCTCCCAGAGGCCCTCTGTGGAACATGTGATTGCACTAACTCTGTTCTGCAGATGAGGACAGGGAGGCACAGGGTCATGGGGTAAATGTGGGGCATGCGCTCTAGAGTCAAGCAGCATTCCTCAGCCTTTGTAATCCTCCTTACTTCAAAGAGGGAGGAGACTAGAGAAATGAGAAGATAGCAGAGGTCCCCATAGACGCAGTTCCAGAAGGCTCTTTAAAGGCAGTTCCAGAAGGAGGAAGCTGAGCAGTCAAGAAAGATCAGAATTCCCCCACGTATAAACCCCATGTGCCTCATGGGGTCCAAGCCCCCCCCCACACACACACACACATTCTCTGAAACTGTACCCTATCCTTATACAGCTGTTACCAGCCACTGTGCCTTTCTGGCTAGAATGTGTGCAGCTGGGTTTGACTTATCCTTCCTGCCATCCCCCTGACTCAGGCAGCTTTAACTACTGTCAAGAGACTGTGGTCTGAGGAGGAAAAGTATGGTAGGCTACCATCTCCCCCACCAGCCTAGGGCCTACCAACACAGGCCCCTTCCACAGATTCTGCCTGTGTTCTCTCAAAAGGCCCAAGTGATAAGCCCAGCATAGGGCATAAGCATATGGAGCTCTGTGAGTTCAAGGCCAACCTGGTCTACATAGTAAATTCCAGGACAACCAGAGCTACACAGTGCGATTCTGTCTCAAAATATTTAAAAAAAAAAAAAAATTAAAGCCCCAAGTGAAGTCAGGCCCAATCCTTTCCTGAGTTCAGTTCTTATTTTCCTGGTTTGAACATTTACTGAGCCACTCCTGTGCACATGAACTATGCTAGTCCTAAAGTTTACAAAAGGGACTTGCTGGTGAACAAGCCATCTGCCCCTCTTGCCTTCAGTGAGTTCTGTGCTCACCTGGGTTGGAGGGCCCCTAGGAATTCCATGCCTGCATACCCAGGTGTATGATTCCTCCTGTGGAGCTGCTTGGCCTGTCCTGTGCACGGTAGGCAGCCTTCACCCTCAGATGCCCGTTGGCAGCTGGCCCAGCTCCAGAGCCTTTAGCCCATTTTCCTGCTGTGGCCTGGTGAAGAGGGGTACCGGAAAGTGGCACCTTGCCCAGACCATTTGGGGCAGGAAGAGGCAGGACCTTTCCTGGGCCCAGCTGCGTGTGAGTCCTGCCAAAACCACCCACACCTACCTGGCTACCTGGGGCCCTTGCCTGGGAAAGCAGCTCTTCCAACATCCCAGGACCTACCTAACACATAGACCCCTTCCACGGGACTCACTGTGCTCCCTGGAGAGCCCTAGGCCAGGGCAGGAGCCAGAGCCAGCCCTGATGGCAGCTGTTAAGAACAGGTATGACAGACATCTCCTGAGACAATACCCACACTCATTCTCTTGTCCCAATCCTCTGAGCCCCTGCTAAGTGCCAGGCCTACTAGAGACTACAAGTCAAAGGTGAGCCAATGGAAGCTGGAGACTTCAACAACCTATTTTCTGGCTCAGGGGTGAGAAGGGTGGGGGTGGGGGCCCACAGTGTGAATATTCCCACCACGACAGGCAAGGAGCCCACAGTGTAACACCACCAACCACTAAGTGGGTTCACACCACCGTCAGTGGGTCTCCACCGCCAGATACAATGGGCACAAATAACCTATGAGCACAGATAATTGGAAAATGTAGTAAGAAAATGATGTTTCCAGTGTGTATAAATACATTTAATTATAAGTTTACGTAACTTAATTATTAACAGTAGCTGTGTTTAACAACCTGCTCACAAAATCCCTGAAAACAATTCCCAGCTCTCAGGTTCACACAAGCTGGCACAGCCCCCTGCAGGAAACTGAAGAAGACAGGCCCACCCAAAGTAGGGTGCTCAGTCAGGAGACAGGGGAGGCTTCCTGGATGAAGTGATACCATGGAGCTGAAGTGAGAGTCACCATACCCCAGAGAGGGGACAAGGAGTAAGCCAAACTTGGTGGAGGGAGGTGGCAGGAAAGAAGAAAGACTTTGGCATTGAACAGAAACCAAAGCTGTGAGGCTCTCTCTCTGGCTGTCGGGACATCTGGGTTCCACCCTGGTCCTGCTATTAATGTGCTGTCACTTTGGCCAAGTCCTCAGTCTTCTCCCCACTGTCATACAGGCACCAGAAGCCAGATGGTCTGCAGGCCTGTGGGGGTGTCTAGAGCCCCCAGAGATCTGTGGAGGAGCCTGGTGTCTGGCTCATGACACTCATAGTAGGCATCTGGCCCACAGAAGACATTCAGTAGCCAAATCTCCCCTCTCCCTTCAGCCAGTTCCCCCAGGTGATCACCGAAACTCCTGGCTTAGCTGCTGGTTTGTAACTATAATTACAGTCATTTCTAGAACACTTTTCTGCCTCCCCTAATTACCAAGCCCATGCGATTCCAATTACACATCTAAAGAAACATGTCAGGAACCCCTCCCTGAGACCAATCTGGAATTGCAGCCCCCAGGCCAGCTGGGATGTCACGGGAGCCCTCCCTCTGCCACTCCCTCAGTGCCAACCAGGCAGGAAGTCTTCAGCCCACCCAGGGTCAGCCCTGGGTGAATACAGGATCAAGGAGGCAGATGAAACAGCAGGGGGCTTGCATCTAGAAAGGGAAGAGTCCTCTCCTGGCCAAGTGGAAATCCTCTGACCACAAAGTAGATGAGTCTCCAAGCTCTGGGGTCACCATCAGGGTGCACCTGGGTAAAGTTTAGGACATAGAGTCTGGTCTTGAGTCTGTTATTACCACCCACTGCATAGGGCACCTACCCTTCAGAGAGGCTGGGCTGCTCACACCTGCTGGGCAAGACATCAACACACTCCAGAGAAAGCCTCATTATTCAGGATTCTGTTTGGGAGATGCTGTCCCTCAAACCAAAATAAGCCTCCCACAGGGTATACTAACACATGCCTTTAATCCCAGCACTCAGAAGGCAGAGGCTGACAGGTCTATGCGGGTTCGAGGCCAGCCTGGTCTACATTGCCAGTTTCGGGCCAGTAAAGGATACCCAGGACCCTGTCTCAAAATCAAGAGAGTGGGGGGAAAGGAAAGGAAAACAAAATAAAAAATAAGCATCCCATGGGGCTGGTGAGATGATTCAGTGGTTAAAAAGCACAGGCTGCTCTTCCAGAGGTCCTGAGTTCAATTCCCAGCAACCACATGGTGGCTCACAACCATCTGTAATAGGATCTGATGCCTTCTTCTGGCATGCAGGTGTACATGCAGGCAGAACATAAAAAAATAAGTAACAAGCTGGGCGGTGGTGGTGCACGCCTTTAATCCCAGCACTCAGGAGGCAGAGGCAGGCAGATCTCTCTGAGTTCAAGATCAGCCTGTTCTACAAGAGCTAGTTCCAGGACAGCCTCCAGAGCTACAGAGAAACACTGTCTCAAAAAACCAATAATAATAATAATAATAATAATAATAATAATAATAAAATTTTAAAAACTTTAAAAAAATAGAAATCTAGCCAAACGGTGTTGGGTCATGCCTTTAATCCTAGCACTCAGAAGGCAGAGACTAACAGGTCTCTGTAAGTTCGAGGCCAGCCTGGTCTAACAGAGTGAGTTCCA